CGAAGTGAATTGGCTTGTTTTGCAACGTCGTTGCCAAGCGACGAAAACCCAATCCCGATGGCAAACACCGAGGGGGACGATTGGAGGGTGGGGGTTGTTCTTTGCGCTTCATGTGTAATGACCTCTTCTTTCTGAATCGATATTGCTCATGGCACTGGTCGGCTGTGTGTTGACCCCTTGTCGTTTTGATTTAGCCTTTTTCTTCACGTGTAGCCGAGGTGACGCGGTCGATGTTCGTTGTAATCCAGGCACATGATTGACTCCGCCTCGACCCCCACAATATGCACAACGTGCGCTGACGTCTCTCCTGCTTGTGCTGCTGTTCTCCGTGCTTTTTGTGGGGCCGCAAGCACTTGGTCCTCACGGAGTATTTTTGAGACTGTTGTTGCCATCTGGGAATCATGGGATTGATTACCACGGGTGTTCCTGCCTTACACCTGCCTTTACGGCTAGTTCCAAGGCAGCCACCACCTGCTCGGAACATGACGATCCATTTTAATTCTTTCGGAGTGTCTCAGTCAATGGAAGCCTCGCGTATAGTGGCTACCTGAAGCGCCCCAGCTCATCGACTCCACGCTTCTTAGTTGCTGACAACCCACAGCCACCCCCCCCCCTACCCCACAACGTACATTCTCGACACATGAACAATGCCTGCGTCGGATTTACCATCAAAAGGTGGACTCCGATATTTCGTCTCTGTACCACTGCGTCAGGGGGCCCCGGCCGGGGGGCCCCCTGTATTCCGACTGCGGGGTGACCGTGACCGCATTCCCGGAGGAGCTAACGCTAGCAGCGACGGTTATAACGGGGGCACCGCGGCCGAGGTGTACGGTACAGGTGACCCGACGGCATCAGCTCGTGTGCTTTTTTTTTTTCTTCGATTCATTCATTTTTTTGTCGCGGGGCAGGGGGCCTCATCCAATCCAATACTTGCATCGAATGACCCTCGGCGTGGAGACAGAATACTATTTATAATAGTGATTTCGCTTGTTATTTTTCAGGCAGAACCGAATAAAAAGAAAACACAAAGCTTGTAGCAGGCATCAGTGGGGGGGCGGTGGAACAATTTGTTGTTGTTGTCTTCCCATTAATAACCGTTTTGGTCTCTGCTGAGTACCCCACCTTCTAACATGCGTACCGGTCCAACTGACGCGGACGCCTTCCGTGGTCATGCAGGCTAGGGCTCGTAATGCACATGATGATAAACATCAGCCCCCCCCCC